TTTTCCTCGACTCGTATTTCGTGGTCGCAATTATTGTAGAGTTCCTTCATACCTACGAAGATAGCGTATTAACCCCTTGTCTTACAAAATCGAGTGGCACGCGATAACGATTTTAAACTGAATTTAGTAAACATGTATATTATTCGTTTTCTTTGAATCGACGTGAAATACTGTTTCACTGGTATTAACATTTAAGATTTGGAATAAATGTAGCACTTCTCATAAAAATAGAATTCCTTTCGTATCTGGGGAAAATATTAACGACAAAGTAATTCTTGAGAGTGAAGTCGTGAAAAAATTAATAAAAATATGGGTCACTTACACAGGATGGATTCTACATGCCAAATTGAGGTGAAAATAAAGAATGAGGAAATAACGTCAGGGGCTTCGTTTTTGAGTTATTAATACTTTACTGACCGGTAGCCTATTAATAGACTTTTAAATATCAGTACTTATAGACAAGAAGCCTATTAATTTACCTTTAGATCCGGGTTAAAGAAAGAAATTGTAACATTATTCTATTAGAGTTCGTGTTATTTTTCATGTATATAATTTGCTACTGTGATTGAGCTGTTTAATAATATAGTAGCTCCTTGGCTGTGGAACGTTAGATCTACTAAACCTATTAAATAGCAGCTGATAGGTAATGTGTTAGTTGTTGAAAATAGGTACGTGCAAAATATGTACGAAATATGTCTGGCGTTATACTATTTAAGGTAGCTTTCGCATTTGGTATCGTATCTCGATGGGGCTCCATATGGCCCTTCAAAATTTAATTTGAATGATTAATATGTTAAACTACTTCAAAATACATAAATGGTTGAAAAATTTACAACTAAGTGGGAAAAACAAAAATTTTGTTTCCTTACTGTCTCCCGGAAAATACCACCCAACGCACTGAAACCTAAGTTTGCATGTTTTGATCTTAATTTTCAGTTTCATTTGAACTTCAAAATATCGTTTCTTTCGTGCCATCATAATTTCCATAACAAATTTATAACCAGCTAATTTTTGACAAAAATATAATTTTTTATAGTTAAATAAGAAATGATTAATCTTTCACTATCAACTACAGTTCCATAAGGCTCGTGTTAAAAAGAAACTTTTGTAACGTTCCTTTTTCAATAATTTTATCGTTGACCTTGCAATTTTTTGATAGCAATTGAAAGTTGAAGTTTTTAAGAATGTTCTGCTACATTTTCAACTAAATTTATAATTATTAAAAATTTGCGGAAGCCACCTTAAACAGCCGATTTCCAGATAATACACGGGCTTGATTAATGGCCTAGTGAAACGAATGAACGAAATGAAATTAATGAAACCAACTCGTAAAACAGTTAAAAAACCCGCCTGGCAAGTAGAATAACTCGTTACGTCTAACGTATTTTCCGCGTCCTTTGTTCGTATTTTTAACAATAAATAATTCGGGTACGAAGACTTGAACGTAATTTCGTCATTCTTGATTTTTGTCCTAGTTTGGTAAATAGAATTCAGTCTGAAAAATCACCACATTTTGATAAACAGCCTCTATAGGTATTAGTAATATTAGTATTCTACTGAAAAGATTTATTTATCAAGTTTATAACACTTGTTCTGTTTCTCCCGCTTGGCGGGAGCAACATGACCGCTCTATTAGCAATTCTCTAACTCTTTCGAGCAGTGTAGATATTCTAGATTCTAGATAGTCTAATGATATCTTCCGTCGGAACGTGAAAACGCCGGAAATGCCTGGTTGTCAGCTGAGATGCATGCAAATGTTACTGATTCACCGTTTCGAAGTTGCATTGTACTTTGAGACGTTCGTTGCACCTGGTTGCTTTGTATTCTACCCCGACTGTAGAGAATCTGTTTGCTTTCGTAATTGGTACTGTGATTTATTCTAAAATGGTCACGCAAATGCAATTGTGGCACTCAGTGTTTCTCATTATATGTACACATGGGAGTTACCAAATTAAGGATGATAAATTCGTTGTTAATAATATCGAATTACGCCAATGTCAATTATTTTACCTTCTTAACCCCTGTATACTAGTCAAAGAGCTATGGTTTCAATATTCTTTGAATTAAACTGAACTAAAGTTGAACTTGAATTGGAAAAAAATATTCACTTACTATTGAATTGTAATATAATGTTAACCCACAATTTAAAAATTGGTAGATTAATAAAATAAGTATTATTACACCAAATAAATGACTAATTTCAAATTATTTCGTTCTGTGTATGTAATATTGCACACGTGTTCAAAAATCTCTACTCTGAGGGATTTAGTAACACGAAATACAAAAGGCATAATCATTTTACGCTTGCTGATTAAATAGTTACTGTTGGGACACTGGAAGGATTAATTTCGTACGTCACAGATTTAGTTCTCAAAACTTTTTTTACGGACTATATCAGGTGTCAGAAACTTTTTAATTAAATTGAAGTACACAGAAAGCTACGGTCAGTCGCGGTCAGAAAATTTATTGTAAAATGTATTTTATAAAAAGTTAGTTATGCTGTAGAATTTGTTGTATAAAGATTTTACTGAATTCACTGTCTCTAAAAAAGTTCGTGACGAGAACTTCAAAAACACTCGGACTATATAGGATACGACTATAATGATTGCACAATTGAAACTAGAGTGATTACTGGTGCCAAAGTTAAAAACATTGAACACTACTTGGTGAGAAATTTTATTTTCAAGAAGAAGGGAAAAATGTTTCCCTAATTTTTAGGATTAGTCATTATTATTCTTAGATAGGTACTGTACTTGTTCATGCAATTTTTTAAGTTTCAAAGTAATGCAGAAAAAATGTGTAAGCTCGAGATACTGTACAGAACTTGATATACACAGCAATAAAACAGTACGAGTTTATTGTGCTGGATTAGTATGAACGTCTTGTCATGGTTTTCTCAAAAGTGGAACGAAATTAATTGTTGCACAACCTTGATTAAATCATTAATACAATCTTCAAACTTTTAATCTGTATGTATACATATACACGCACACGTTTACAGATAGTAAGATTTCCTACATAGTTCCATTTTGTAGAGATGTAGAACTGTTTTCAATATAGAACGAAACATTGACACGATCGAAATAAAAAGACTAATATTGAATCTATGGTCTGTTCCACTAAAGAGAAGCCCTGGGAGGTAAGCCCGAGTTTTCGCGGTGTTGCCGCGATCGCGACACGTCTTCGGCGCTTGTGTCTTTCTCACTCTTCGCGTCTTGGCCAATGACGTTCGACCGTCGATGTGCGTCCTCGTCTACGGTCGTCTGTCTCCATCGCACGTATTACAAACTTCTCGAGAAGGACCTACCTACAATCTCAAGTAGTGGGGACTGCGTTCGGCACGCGCCCGTCAATCATCCATTGTCTGGAAATGGCGGAGAATGTTGAGATGCTGAACGTTTTCACACGTCAAGAGTTAAAATACATGAATAAGAAACAGTTTATTTCTTTTGAAAGAATGTATTGTACCCAAATATTGAGCAACATATTAAAAGGGGATTAAATTAATACGTAGGTTTTTAAACGCTATACGTGGAAATCGCATGGTAAAGAAGGAAGTTGGTTTACCGAGCGTCTGAGCGAGAGGCTCTCGTGATGCTCGTGCCGAAGGATGGAAAGAGACATACAGTGTCATTGGGACCGTGACAACGTCGCACGAAATACGCAGCTCGCGTTGGATCCCCACCATGCCTCGCGTCGAGGAAGGGAAACCCCTCAAGGATCTTCTTTAGTGGGATAGACCATAGTACCGCTACAGTAGAAACGTTGCATAATTATTCACTTAAGTGTTTCTCATATCCAAAAATATAACATGACTTTCACAATTTGGACAAGAAATTACGAGTATGCTATTTTTAGAAAAATACCTGTTTAACGTTGCATTTTTAAATCATAAATTACATGACATAATAATATGGTTTTAATGTTTCCAATAATATATGGATAAATATTGGGAGAATGAAGAATATTAATTTAATATATTAAACTTTGAAACAATTTAAAATAATAAATTGTAAGGAACATATCAACATGTCAACATATACGGACTTATGATAAATCCGAGCAATCTTCTGCATAATCCGGTATGGTCTAGTGGCTAGGATACCTGGCTTTCACCCAGGAGGCTCGGGTTCGATTCCCGGTACCGGAAATTATTTTTTTTGTTTTTTTTTTTTGGCATAATTATTATTTGTACCCTACTTAAACATGTCATAGAATGATGATTTTTTTACAGAGAAATAATAATAACAATCCTAATAAGTAAACTACATATGCACATTTGTATGTATTTTTGTAGAGAGACAAATTTATATATCATTGATATTTGTGACATTTTAATTTCAAGCAAATGCAATTTCTGTAAATAAAGATTATGCACTTTTAAATTGTAAGCAACAAATGTGTTAGTAGCGATTAAATGATTTTGACTGATCAAGTGACTTGCAGCGCAATAACAAGGGGAAACATACATATATTCTACCTGAATAAGTAAGTTCGTATTTTAAATGTACGATCTACCACTACAAAAAAAATATATAAAAGGAAGGTATTTATGCTATAAATAGTACTCTTGCAATTATTATTCCTATCCTATAATCAATGTTGTAAAGAGAATATAATTACAACTGTAAATTGAGAATTGTTAAATAAATGCTGTACATAAGAAGCCAGACGATTTTTATCACTTTGATTCAACATACATTGTGTCTCTAAATGAAACGATCAAACTGCACCTGTATCTATGTAAGAAGTAAGACAAAAAATTAGACTCCTTAAAGAATTATAACAAAAGAAACAAATTCTGTACCTACGCTAATGTTTTTATCGCTGTATCAATTTCACTGGTACGAGGCATTTATTTTTCATATTTTTATTATAACTCCTGAACAAGGGATATTTAACTTTATCGTATTTCTTCTCATATAATATGTTAGTGCAACTTGAACGTTCGCTTTAGATGCATTATGTATACTGTTTGATATAAAAACGTGGAGTCTTACTTGAAAGGAAAAGGTCTTGGAGGGCCTGGGCAGCCTGGCATAGGAGAGCCCATGTTTCGGCAGCGGCTAATCCTGTTCCTCGCAGAGAAAGGACATCCCCCGCCACAACAGCAAGACCAGGTCCCGCGCTCAGGTCGGTCTGCATCCTGTACAACAAAGAAATCACCATATTAAACTCCATAAATCCTGAAGCAACATTTTTAATAGATTCACATTCCTTTTTTTCTGGGATTTCATCAATTGTAATTTAAGAAAAACAATAAAAACGTTATAAAAAAAAATGAAAACACAGCAAAATGTGATTTTATTTCGTATAAAATCATAAAATGTTTTTTGTTTTCAAAAATATCCAGATTTTTCAAACGCCTCAAATTTTATTCATTGTACGTTTTAATATGAAATCATGTTTAATCAATATTACACATAGGTCAATGAATTATATTTATATTTTTCCACTGTCGAATGATGTTTTGCACAATTAAAGAAGAATATTTAAATAATTTAAGAATAAAGGATTGGATACTTTGTTGTGTGATAATGAAATGTGAACATCACAGAATATTCTCATAATAGATTAAGTACTTGATTGATTTCAAGTTTAACTGCATCAAACTAATAAATGATTCTCTTATAAATACAATATATCTTCACGCCCTCATTCTTGATAAAAATTGCGTAAGCTTTTGGAGAACTGTAACAAACATCACTGACAGAGCTATTGCTTCTAATTTTTTTGAAAATAAATCCTAAATTTTCAATCTTCAATTTTCAATTTTCACAATATTGGATACATTGTGACCACTAAGTGTCAGATAGTTCAACCACATATTCTTCTACTTCAAACTTTTCGTGGTAGTCTCCAGCTGTACGTGTTCGTTTCTGATTATTCAATGAACATTTCTGTATTTACGAATGTAACGAAAATAGTTCGAGGTGTGTTATCTGTCTATGGTCTGTTTTTCGAAAGAAGAGCCCTCAGGGGTCGCCCTGCCTCGGCGCGTGGCCTGGTGGGGATCCAACGCGAGCTGCGTATTTCGTGCGACGTTGTCAGGGTCTCAATACCACTGTGTGTCTCTTTCCATCCTCCGGCACTTCGGCACGAGAGTCTCTCGCTCAGGCGCTCGGTAAACTAACTTCCTTCTTTACCCTCCGATTTCCACGTGTAGCGTTTAATAACCTACGTATAAATTTACTCCCCTTTTAATACGTTGCTCAATATTTGGGTACAATACATTCTTTCAAAAGGAAAAAACTTTTTCTTATTCATGTATTTTAACTCTTAACGTGTGAAAACGGTCGTGGATGATTGACAGGCGCATGCCGAACGCAGTCCCCACTACTTGAGATTGTAGGTAGGTCCTTCTCGAGAAGTTTGTAATACGTGCGATGGAGACAGACGACCGTAGACGAGGAAGCACGTCGACGGTCGAACGTCATTGGCCAAGACGCGAAGAGTGAGAGAGACACAAGTGCCGTAGATGTCTCGCGATCGCGGCAACACCGCGAAAACTCGGGCTTACCTCCCAAGGCTCTTCTTTCGAAAAACAAACTATAAGTCTAGAGAACAAGTTCAGGCCAACTCATATTGAACATTGTTCATTTTGTTCTAAATATAACAGATCTCAGTGTGCAAACACCTTTTGTATTCACTGGAAACATTAGTGATTTCTAATTTCTAAAAATACATCAAAACTCAACATAAAAGAATGCCCCTCCTCGATGACACTCATGTTTCATTCACTTTTTCCATTGCAATTCTGTCAACTGGCGGATTCATGTTAAAGGAGACATCTAACGTTTGAAGTTAGAAACAAAATAATGCTTGTATCTCTGAATTTGTAAATGCTGATGCAAATTTTGTTAAGTTAATTTAATTAGAAATCACGTGTTTTCGAAATGATATTTCCATTCAAGGATTAGTCTCGTTTAGGCTTTTAAGTTCGTTATCGATTCTTCATCCGTAGACAATACATCAGAGACTAGCGCGGAACAAGTTGCGAACAGTGACTGGCTTCGATGAAAACAGGGTTGAAGCAACGTGTCGCGCAGCCCACCAAGAACAAACAAATGTAAACAGGCCGGAGGCGTGCATACTGGATGTATTGAGCTTGTTGGGCGCAGAGCTTCGATTATTTCAATCTCTTTTGTTCAACGTGTCGCTTCCGCTCCATTTTACCTTGCTGAGCCTACGAACATAAACGCGTCATAATTAATTCGACCGCTGTTACACGATCGATTTTGTAACAAAATTATGGAAATCATTTTAAACCTTACGCTATTAAGGATGATTATAGTTACTCGATAAATTTATTTAGGTGTCTCTTGTTCTAACAACCTGCGGTTTGTTTATTGTGTGCAACGAAAGTATTTCAGTGTTGTTATTATAATGATCGGTAATAATAGTGATAATAGGTATGTGTATTCTATTCGTGAAAAGATGCACACTCTAAGCTTGGGACACATGCCATAAAGTACAGAGGGGGGAGACGTAACTGATAGATTGAAAAAACTTATAATTTGTTTATTTGTTAATACTTCTTTAATATCTTGTTTATTTTACAGCGAAAATTGAAGAGATTTACGTATAGAGAGGTACCGTATTGCTGAACGAACAAAAATTTACTTTTACAATGAAACTTTGAGGAAACAGTTCCCAAATTACAGAATTTCACAAAATGGTGATTTTAGTTGGCCACCGCGATCGCCCTATCTAAACACGCCAGATTTTTTCCGTTGGGGTTATCTAAGGGAAAAAGTTTAAGATAATAAGCCGCAAACTGTTCAAATTCTAAAAGACAGCATTCGAGGACAAATCGCCGTAACACCTGCAAAAGTTGAAAGATTAATGGAAAACACCATGAAAAAACTATATTCTTGCTTTAAAAATCATGGTGCACACTTAACGGATATAAATAATTTTCCACACTTAATATAAAAAAAGGCCAACAATAAACTTTTATTTGCAACTTCAATGTATCGTTTATTTCACTTCGTTTCAATGTTCTTGCAAAAATAAACCCATCAGTTAGTTTTTCCCCATCTTGTAGTATGTGTACACTTTGCATTTTTTTAAAAATATTATCAAATCATATTTAGATTACGAAGTAGAAGTATTTATTTAACAATCAATTCAAGTGTTTGTCACTGTGAAACTCGACAGGTACAAGATGACGCCATTCGTGAATTAAATACTAACTTTTACGGTTTCATTATTGCGGGGGGAATCTTTAATTCATTTTGAATAATTTACAGAAAAGTGATTATGCTAGTGAGTTCTCCTAAATCTTAAATAAAATACAAACCTCATTAACCCTTCACTACGGACAACTCGTCTCAGAGATAAATAATCCGACAACGACTACTTTGTAAGCGTATTTGTTGTACGACAAATCGTATCGTCTATGGGAGCCTTAACATTTTCCATAACCAACTGAATGTTGTTTGTCGTTATTATTGTGTATGTTACTGTTAATTAAAAGTACTCAAATGCTAGAGTTTCAAAAATTCTCCGCTGGGTTATGATAGTGAAAGAAAAATTAAAATTCGTCTCTGAGACAAGTGGCCTGTAGTTAAAGGTTAAAGTTTCGAATCTATTACAAATTTTAGACAACTAACTATTCTATCATATAAATACGTAAAATTCCCAGTTTTGTAATAACCAATCGATAGCTATGAACCATTAAATCGAAGACAGGATTGACTTCCAATTGAACTGGAACGTCCATGACAATCGTGGCCCGCCTGCGAAATTCCGCATCTGGGGCAAACTTCAATTCCAAACTTTTCAACCGATACCGATCACTCTTTCTGTGTATGTTTTAAATGCAAATGCCAGAAAGTTATCGCTCGCTCTCGCTGGAAACTTTGGGTCCTAGTATTTGCGGAACGCTCGACAAAGCGCTTACATCAGAAGTAATTTCTCTCGGCTGAAGGATCGGGGAAAAGTTTTACGAAGTATTAGCTTCCTCGCGACAAATACGTCGTGGGGAAGTCATTCTTCAGTTTCATCCGTGATGAATAATATTCGTTCATCGAAGAATAAACGTTTAATGGAAATGTTATATTTGTTTCTACATTAGTCCTCATTCATCCCTTGTCATAATTTGACACATTTTTCTTTTAAGAAATGATGTTATTCTGTCACGTGTAGGTAAACTTAGCTTAGACTCTGTGACTTTTATTTTAAAGAATTTGCAAATTTAACTAATTATCTTTTTATTATATTAATTTTTTACCGCTGTGTCAATTTGACACCGACGGACAAATTTAGTTGGAAAAATCAGGGAGCAATAAGGGTTCATGTCGTTAGAAAAATTAACTCGGATAAAAATAATTCATTTTTAAAACTATTATGATTATTTTATTTCTAGGATCATATGTGCCAAAAGAGGTTAATAACAACTGTGTTAGTTTATGACGAGTGTAAACTTAGTTATAGAAGCAACTGAAACTAATATATATTTGAAAAATATGTGGTTTTCTTTTAGATACTTTATTTTTTTCCTACAACTTTAAGGTCATAAATATTCTGCAATTGTAATGTTTTGTACATTGTAATTTTTACCTCGAATTAGACTGCAGTCTTATCGCAAATTTCGAATAGAATATTAAAGAGACATTGGAAAAATAATACATATATGCTTGAATCTGTTTGTCGTCTGTAGATACTAATTGCGTGTTCATTTGTTGGTTCAATATACTTTGTCACATTTGACAAACTATAGATCCCATTCTGCGATCAGGGAAATGCACAGCGCCGACGTAACTGGGTCATCAATTATCCGATACTTAAATGAGATTGGAAGATTATTCGATTGGAATTATGCGATTCCCAGGTTCAGTCGATCTTAAAATGCAATTGAGGAGGTCGGAAAATCCGCTCTTTTCTTTAGCCTTGATAAAAGTTACAACTTATTTAAAGGATATATGACGAATTTATGTACGAATAGGAATATTCATCTGAAAGTCATTCTAAATAAATTTCTTACAAACAGTAAGAATTAAGTTATAGATTATTGATTAAAATGTTATATGTTTAATTTATTTTCATCTACAGGAACATTTACTAAATGAATTATTCCAATATCTATTTTACAAAGTGCTTCTGAAATATCGATAAAAAGTCAATTGGCTAATGGTGCCCGGTAAGAGAAAGTGGTGTGTTTCAACTACTCAAAATGAATTACACTACATTTGTAAATGTAAA